TCAGGTCCTCTGATGAGAATTACCTCCAGCCTCTCTTTGTCTCCAGGGCCTCCTGAAAGAATAGAGAAGGAATGTCTGGTGTGAGATTTACCTTCCCTTCCCTTCCCCATTTCTTACTTGGGATCCCAGATGGCAAGCAAGATCATAAGGATTCTCCTTAAGATGGTCAAGACCAAGAATGTAGCATCTCTACCTTCCTGTAGGATCCTTACCTCTGTCCTGGTTCTCCTGACTTTGTTGTATTGCCAGACCATTGATTGATACTCTCCCCCAACTACAATCACCATGCGAAGGGATCATCCTGTATAGGAGGTTTTGAGAACCAAGAGATGGTCTCCTTCTCCGTTGAGTTGATGAACAATTAACAGTGCTGATGTATGCCAGACCAGGTGGCTTATACCTATAATATCAGCAGCTCCAGAGACTGAGACAGGAGCATCGCAAGTTCAAAGCCAGTCTCAGCAATTTAGTGAGACTAGGCAACTTAGAGAGACACTGTCTCAAAATAAGAATAAAAAGGGACTGGAGATGTTGCTCAGTAGTTAAGTGCCTCTGGGTTCAATCCCCAGTCCCTCCCCCCCAAAAAAAAAAAAGTTAAAAAGTGCTGCTTTTTTTAATCCCAGGCCTGGGGAGGGAGTCATACCCCCTGCATTAAGTCTAAACTGTCCTGACTGTGTGTGTCATGGACAGGCTATTCCTTCCTGGGTCCTCCATATGGTGTGTTTAGGACCTAACACAATTGATACCGTGGGTGAGCCTGGTTCTTAGACCTTACCCAGTTGCACTGTGTCCTGGGGTACTGAGGATTGTGTAAAGGGAAGGGCAGTGTGCACAGGGAACATGGAGGAAGATCAGGGCAAAGATGACACCACAGATTCAAGGTGAGAAAAACAATTGAGAGAGATGACTTTTATCAGGTGAAAAGAGGCAAGGATACCAAGGATGCATGTAATAGAGCCAGGGTTGGAGAGGAAAGAGGAACAGGATGTGCTGCAAGGAGTAGGAGTTTAGGAGCCAAATAGAAAGTCAGCCATTTCCAGATTGTGTAACCTTAAGACTTCAAATTCTCCCTAGTGTTTTGTTGTTTCATCTGTACAGTAGGGATAATCCTCATCCTGACAATGGAATGCATTTCAATTCATCGTACACAAATAGAGTGCAACATTTCAATTCTCTGGTTGTACACGGTATAGAGACGCACCATTCATGCAATCATACATGTACCTAGGATAATAATGTCCATCTCATTCCACCATCTTTCCTATCCTCATAACCTCTCCCCACCCTTCACTTTGCCCAATCCAAAGTTCCTTCACTCCTCCTATCCCCGTATTATAGATCAGCATCCACCAATCAGATAAAACATTCAGCCTTTAATTTTCTGATTGGCTTACTTTGCTTAGCATAATATAAATTTTTGGAGACAAGGTCTCACAATGTCATTATGTTGCTCAGGCTGGCTCCAAACTCCTGGGTTCAAGTGATCCTCCTCCTGCCTCAGCCTCTGAAGCCACTGGGATTACAGGCATGTGCCACAGCACCTGGCTGGCCATGAGAATATTTTAAAAACCTGTAACACTCTTGCTTTTTCTCTTCCTCCTCTTTGGATTTTTCTAGACCTTAAGTGGGACAGCCCCAAAGTATGGGTGTGTGCTCTAGATTTCCCACATCTTGCCTCCATCTTATTACTTACAAAATAATTGGGAATCTGTGAAAGTGCCAGTGGCTACAAGTTTTTTGGCTTTGTTTTGTTTCCCTTTGGTATCAGGGATTGAACCAGGGGTGCTTAAACACTGAGCCACATCCCTAGCCTTTTTTATTTTTTATTTTGAGAAGGATCTTGCTAAGTTGCTGAGGCTGGCCGTGAATTGGGGATTCTTCTACTTCTCAACCTCCTGAGTTGCTGGTATTACAGGCAAGTGCCACCATGTCTAGCTACAAGTTTTCTTAAACTTCCATAGCCTGTTAATGTGTTAGGTTCTGTTCATTCCCCTCTGTCTGCAATAGCTCCTTAATCTATTCTTCTGTGTTCTCATGGTAGAAACCCTTTGGATGGGCTTTTAACAGTCCGCCAGGACTTTAACACCAGACATGTCACACTGCAAACAACCCATTTCCATCTGGAAGTGATAGCCTGGTGAGAATTCTTCCACAAACCATAACCACACTTCTTCCCAACTATTGTAGTAGGTCCCAAATCGCTCTTTTCCTTGGATTCTCCTTAACTTCATTTCCCTATACACTATCTTACACAATATGTCCATGTGAGCCAAACCTGAGAAACTTCAGGGTTCTAAATAAATTGCCAACACTTTGCCCTGTATTCCTGCATCTTCTATCTTGCATTATAGTTATTGTTCTGTATCCCCCACAAAGTAGTAAAATACTTCACAACAAGAACTGACTGTTCATCCATTCAACAAATATTTATTGAGCACTTCTCCTGTGCCAGGCCCTATTTTAGATGTTAGTGAATATATAAGAGAACCAAAACCTGCCCCCATGGARCTTACATTCTATCTAGGAAGGAGACATCCAATAAACATAAAAATTAGGAAAAATAAATAAGCAGATTATAATGTGAGTTTTAATTACTTTAGAATTCACTCATGTACCTGCATATAAAAGTACTCAAGTATTTTTAAAATTTTTATTTGTTCATTCATTTAGTTGTGTATTACAAGGAACCAAACTCAGGGCCTTGTGAATGTTAAGTATGCCCTCTTCCCTTTCAAATTATTATTATTGTTTTTTGGGGGAGGGTATCAGGGATAGAGCCCAGGGGCACTTAACCACAGAGCCACAACCCACCCTTTTAAAAAATATTTTATTTAGAGACAGGGTCTCACTAAGTTGCTTAGGGCCTCACTAAGTTGCTGAGGTTGGCTTTGAACTTGTGATCCTCCTGCCTCAGCCTCCTAGCCGCTGGAATTACAGGTGTGCACCACTGCACCTCCCCACTTCATGTTATTTTTTTTAAATTGTGTTCAGTTCAGTTTGTGTTAAAGTTCTCAGAGTTGGACTTCTTAGATTTGGTGAGGCTTGTGCCTTCAGATCAGGACAGGCACAAACAGGTCTGGAATTCTGAAGGTGAAGAGAAATGGGGCGGAAGCTAACAAACAAGCCTTAAGAGCAACTGGGTAAGGAGCTGGTCCTGGGCTCTAACCTCTACCCAGATGAAGGCTGGGACTTCAAGGCTATCTTGAGAAATCTGGGTCAGTTACCTGGTTTGGCCACCAGAGGTCATTTTACCCCTGTAAATCACCAACTGGAGAGCTCACATAAAGACACACAAAAGACTGACTCTGAACTAGAAACACAGATACAGGAAAACCCTAACACTATCTCACACACACTCCCCCCCCCCCCACCGCACACACACACACATACAGAGAGAGAGGGAGAGAAAAATACAGTACCGAGACATAGGGATGGAAATGCATACTGGACACACATAGCAACAACTCTTACTGCCAAGGTCTAAAGATGTCAGGGTGCTAACTCTGCAGCCCTCCCAGCCCCCTACTTGGATCAAGACGGAAGGAAACCATTTAGCTTGCTAAGAACAGACGGGCTATTCCTGTCCTCTCATCTCACTCTTACTTCCCTGTATACTCTTCTCTCCTGGCTATGGCACAGTTCCTTTCTAACCACTAGAGATGTCCCACCCTCTCCTCCAGAGTGTGTGTGTGTCTGGTTCCACCCCTGACCCCCCAAGGCTGCTGCCCTGATAAGCCCAAGGTGGTATTCCATTTGGTGTACAAACTCCTGCCTGCCTCCAGGAGGCCCCAAGCCTTAAGCACTATTATTAGCAATTAATTTGTTGAGCACCACACTCCTTACAGTCATAAAAACAAAACAAAACAAACAAACAAAAAACTATTATATAATGCCCTGGGAAGATGGTAATGTGAACTCTAATACCTTAGTACAAGTGTGGTTCTCAAAGTGTGATCCAGGGACCAGTTCTTTGAGGAAGTCCATGAAGTCAAAATTATCTTCATAATACTACTAAGATATTATTTATGTTTTTCACTCTCCTCACCAGTATACAATGTAGTTTTCCAGAGGCTTCAAGAAATGTGATGACATTACCACTCTCACGGCTAATGGATTGTGTGCTTGTGTATTTCTGTTTTAAAAACTTATTAGCTTTCATTCCTATTACAGTAAATATTAAAACAACAAAGAATAAGCAAAAGCTCTTGGGGTCCTCAATTTCTATGAGTGTAAAGGGATCTGAGACCAAGAAGTTTGAGAACCAATGCTTTAATACAAAGACTGTTCTCCTTTCTTTGGACAAAGCAGGAAGACAGAGATGATATTAAGGATCTAGAAAGGAGGAGGTCCTAAAAACGATGGCAGGAGAAGCCATGACCTAGACAAGGGACAAAAACTAGGATTTGGGGGAGGGGGGCAGTGTTTATCACAATTTAATTCACAGTTTTGCCCTGCCCCTACCACCCCATGTTGGGTGTCCTAGCCTAAACCATTAGAAATCAATAATAAGGAATCCAGTTCTCTCCATATCAAATAAACACTTGTATGCTTCCTGCTAAGTAGCGGGGGGCCAGGTGGAAGTGAAAATGGTGGTGTCCATGGCCCTGAGATCAGCACAGAACTCAACAGATGGCACCAACTTCTCAGTAGCTTGATCTACCAAGGTTTGGGGCTCTTCAGCTCTTGGTCTGCGGTCCTGTGGCAAAATCCAGGGTATCCACTTTCCTTTCCATCTATCAGCTCTTAGCTGTGGTCAGGTTCATTGCATCACTTCCCACTGATTAGAGAAAAGGTCCTTTGCCTACTACCACCAACTTAAAGAAGCCATGGCTAGTAACAATCTTTCTTTCCTGTGATCTTGTTTCCACACTTTGTTCTCATCTGCATTCAAGAACTGGAGTTCCACTCTGAAATCCAAGCGCTCAGTGCACCTCCCCCATGGACATGGATCCAGAAGCCTATGAGAGAGGTACCAGACTGCACTATTGCGCGATATGCGTTCAGAGGGTGGAATCCTGAGGACACTCGGTGAAGGGCATTCTGGGTTTAGGTGGCTGGAGTAGCTCCTGACTGGTGGCATCCACTCCAGTGGTGTGGATGGCCTCTGAGGACCTTTCTGCACTCGCTCCCCTATCCCCATTGGTGGCCAAGGTCCGGACCTGGAGCGGAGTACCTAGGCCACGCAGGGTGTTACGGAAACCCTCGGCGCTGAAGTAGTACACCAGCGGGTCCAGCACGCAGTTGGCGCCGGCCAGCAGCACCATTACCATCAACACCCCGCGCACTTGATCGCGGGCCTCCTGGCTGGCCACCAGCAGGTTGCCCCGCAGCAGCCCATAGACAGCCAGAGTGGAGTTGTAGGGCACGAAGCACAGCAGGAAGATGACGAGGTTGGCCAGCAGAAGGCGCACGGTTTTCCGCCTCCTTTGGCTCTGCGTGGCGTCCGGCCGCGCTAGAGTCCAAAAGACCCGCCCAGATGAATAGAGGACGGCTGCCAGGGGCAACAGAAAGCCCAGGGCCTCGGCCAGCAGCACAAGGGGCAGCAGCCGGCCCTTCCATAGCTCGTCGCTGAAGCTTTCGAAGCACAGGCGCACCTCGATGCCCCGGTAGCTGCAAGGCGAGGGCGTGTGCACGCGGGCGGCGGGCACAGCAAACACCAAGATGAGTGCCCACACACCCAGACAGAGCCGCCTCGCCACGCGGGACCGTCGCATATGACGTAGACGCAGGGGGTGCACAATGGCGGCATAGCGGTCCAAGTTGATGAGCATCAAGAAGATGCAGCTGCCATACATGTTCATCTGGAAGATAGCGCCCGACGTCTGGCACAGGAGGTCGGGGAAGGGCCAGTAGTGCAGTGCGTAGTAGGAGATGCGCACGGGCAGTGASAGGGTGAAAAGCAAGTCGCTGGCTGCCAGATTGCACATGTACACACTCACCACCGAGTGTACGCGCAGAACACGCAAGAAGATCCAGAGGGCCAGCGCATTAAGGGGGAGCCCGGCCGCCAGCACCAAGCTGTAGACCACCATGTGCAGGCGATGGGTAGCCCTATAGTCAGGGCACGGAGGACTAGAGCTGTTGGTAGAAGAGGCGTTGGCAGAGCAGTTGGCCAACAGGGAGGAGTTGGTCAACATCGTGAAAAAGTGAGAGAGGGAGCTAGGCTGGATACATCATGAGACACATCAAGATCCAGGCATCCCTTTTACCTCCAGGGTGGCAGCCTGGAGGTTGTACAGGGACCTGGAGGCTGTGCAGAGACCGTCCAAAAGCAAGGAGAAGCAGGTCATGGAAATATGTGCTATGGCTGCAGGGTCCGATGGCTGTAAAGGATTGGAAGCTTTTAGTCACAGCCTCATCAGCAATGGAGACCTGGAATGGAGAGGCAAATCAAAAGTCAAAGTTATGCAAGGACAGGGCAGCAGACACAAATGTTTAGCTATTTAAATTGGCTGGCCTCATGACTTTTCTCAGCCTGATCTTGCACCTCTTTGCACCCAGTCCAAAATAGCATCTATACCAGGACTGTACTATACAGTATTAAATGCCCTCCATCTGGAGTCAGGGACTCCAGACTGTCTGGTTTGTTTTGTTGTTCTTTGTGTGGTGCTGGGGATTCAACCCAGGTAGGCAAGTGCTCTACTTTGAGCTACATCCCTAGCCCTAGACTGTTTAGGTTTAAATCCTGGCTTTGCCACCTTGTGACCTCAGAAAAGTTAACCTCTCTAAACTTCATCTTATTTAACCTTGAATGGGGGTGGCACAGCATGTTAAAAGTGATCTTTACTAGACAGGTGTGGAGGCACAGGCCTGTAATCCCAGAGACTCCAGAGGCCAAGACAGGACCATCAAAAGTTCAAGACCAGCCTTAGAAATTTATCAAGGCCCTAAACAACTTAGCGAGACCCTGTCTCAAAATAAAAATAAAAAGGCCTGGGGATTTAGCCCAGTGGCAAATCAAACCTGGTTTCAATTCCCAGTATTAAAAAAAAAAAAAAAAAAAAAAGCTCATGAAGGCTTTAATTCATGAAGTTGTTTAGAGATTAAATAAAATCATGTATATAAAATGCTTAGGTTGCTGTTGTCTTAAAAGAACTCTCCCTACCTCAAATGCTTACTAAGTCTTTAAAAGATTTCAGGCATGTTCAGGGTAGTGAGCAAAACATAGGCCTTCCCCCCCACACCACCTACTTTACATTCCACTGGAGGGAGGCAGATAACAAAGAAGTCCACTTAAATAGGTTCATCATGTGGGAAAAATAGTATGAAGCACCTCTCCAGGTCAGATGCTAGGCTGGCTCCCCATTATCTAAAGAATAAAGTTCAGAGTCCCAAGTCCTGTACAAAATCCCAGCCTCACTCATCACATCCACCCTTCTGATATTTGATGTCAGAGCAATATGGGTTCATCCTGATTGACTTCCCTAATGCTGTTTCTTCATCTGTAAAATGGAAATAAGAATGTATTGGTACCTTATAGGCTAATTGCCCAGCTGCTTTGGGCAGAGGCATGTTAAGAGTACTTTGGGCTTTTTCTGGGTGTTCCCCCTTGAGGGTCTACCTAAAGAGCTTCCAAGAGGAAGTTAGCTCTATGATAGGGAACACAGTGGTTTGATAGTGAAGACACATAAGGGACCCAGAGAGGGTGGAGGTAAGGAGTAGTACTGTTTCAGCTGCCATTAAAGAGCAGGCTGCAGCAACTTCAGTCCTCAGGCAAAGTTGGCTGATCAAGGACGCAGCCAAGAGGTAGACAAGCCAAAGAATAGGATGTGGTCTGAGTGTCCCAACTTCCTCAACTCCCTAAGGCCAATTAGTTTTTGTTGTTTTTGTTTGTTTGTTTTTTGAGACAGAATCTCACTATGCTGTCCAGACTGGCCTCAAGTTGCTGGACTCAAGTGATCCTCTTGCCTCAACCTCCTGAATAACTGGAACTACAGAGTATGGGAGGGAATATGCCAGTAGGCCCAGCTCTAAGTACTGGGCAGTGGAACCCAGGGCTTCATGCCTAACAAGCAAGCACTCTATCTTCACCTCTGAGCTGAGAGATAGGGTCTCACTAAGTTGTCGGGGCTGGTCTTGAACTTGTGATCTTGGCTCAGGTTCCAGAGTAGCTAGGATTATAGGCATACATCATGGCACCTAGCTCCTCAGACATTTTTTAAACTTTTTGTTTTGAGACAGGATCTTGGTAAATTATCCAGATTGGCCTTAAATTTACAATCCTGCCTCCGTTTCCCAAGTAGCTGGGATTATAGCATGCACCACCACACCCAGCTTCTAACATCATTGTTAAGTGTACTATTCCATGTCATGAAGTACATTTAAAATGATACATAATCCTCACCAATAATGATTACCAGAAATAGAATTTTTTTCATCATCTCAAACAACAACTCTATAGCCATTAAGCAATACTGTCAGCCACATCTTAAGGAGAGAAGTTGTCTCAGACCTTGAGCAAGTATCCCAAGACATGAATGAAGCTGGTTCCATCCAAAAGAAGCAATTTAATTTTGCCTATTGCACTGAGGAAGTGGCTCAGTGTGTATGTGGCTTAGCATGCTGAAGGTCCCCCTACAGTCCCTAGCACTACAAAATAGATAAACTCTTGCGAAAATTAAATTGTAAACCTGAAAATACCAGATTATTTATTTTTTCTCCCACCAATCATCACCACTGGTAGTGTGAGACTAGCGAGAGATGTTGTGGAACAGTTCAAGGAAATAAACATTTCTCCTATAAAGTGCCAATTTGACAATGAGAGTACAGTTAGCCTCCATAACCACAGGTTTCACATCCATGGATTCAACCAATTGCAAGTAATCCCAGCTACTCAGGAGACTGAGGCAGGAAGATCACAAATTTGAAGCCAGACTCAGCACCTTAACAAGACCCTGTCTTAAATTTAAAAAATAAATAAATAAAAGGAGTGGGGGGTTCAGTGGTAAAGTATCCCTGAGTTCAAATCCCAAGCATCACAAAAAAATAAATTTAAAAAATTATACTAAATATATACAACCTTTTTCTTGATGTTATCCCCTAAGCAATATAGTGTAACTTGTTTACATAGCGTTTATATTGTATTAGGCATTTTAAGTAATCTAGAGATGATTTAAAGTATATAAGATAATATGTCTAGATTATTTGAAAATATTATACCATTTTACTTAAGGGACTTGTGCATCCATAGGTTTGGGTATCCAAGGGGGATTCCTGAAACCAATCTCTCAGGGATGCCAAGGGATGACTATAATACCAAACGGGACTTAAAATTCTGAAAAGCAAATAAAATCAGACTTGTTTCTGGGTAGACATCCCCACTTTCACCCATTTCATCTTATTTCACTTTCACTTTCAGACCTCTGCCTTTGTATTGTTTCCTCTCATTCTCCAACTGGCAAATTTCTCAGGACCCTGTGATCTGCCTCCCCCACAGGGCAGATGTTGTCCCTTCAGCCTTGTGCTTTCCAGGGTGGAGGGATGCACAGGTCTATCAGCTATTCCCATGTGTATAGTAATTAATTATCCTTTTTTTTGAGAGACAGAGAGAGAGAGAGAGAGAGATAGAGAGAATTTTAATATTTATTTTTTAGTTTTCGGCGGACACATCTTTGTTTGTATGTGGTGCTGAGGATGGAACCCGGGCCACGCGCATGCCAGGCGAGCATGCTACCACTTGAGCCACATTATTCTAATCAGCCTCTCCCATTAGACTGTGAGCTCCTTGAGGGAGGGACTGTGGACTATGGCTTATTCATCTTTGTATCCCCAGCACCTACCTCAATAAATGTAGACTGAAAAATAATAGTAACCATATTCCAGGGTATGTTTCATACTTAATTTCTAACCCTTCCAAACATCCTTCGAGGTAGGTGTTTGTCCTCATTTTTATAGGAAAGGAAACAGAAGCCCAAGAGCTAATCACCAAGGAATGAGTTGAGGATAAAACCCAGGACTGCCCAGTTCCAAAGTGGAAGATATACTGTGTTGCTTCCAACCAGAATGGATGATTCAATAAGTGGATAGATGCTGGATAGAGCACCTAGTCTTCTATAGTTAACTATATGAAATCTGTGCTCAGGGGTAACTTATTTTACTTCCTCATTTGTCCAATTGATATACATTTTAATAACCCAATTCCTACTGGTGTTGTGGTTCAGTGTGGAGTGCTTTAGCCTGTGCAAGGACCTGGGTTCAATCCCCTGTACTGAAAAAACAAAACACCACTTCCTTCTTATTCCCAACTTCAAACATTGGTAGCAAACTCATCTTTCTTCATACAAACACACATATGTGCCTCCTTATAATTTCCCATAAGTACTTAAATACTTGAGCTGGGCACAGTGGTACATGCCTGTAGTTCCAACTATTCAGGTGGCTGAGGAGGATTGCTTAAGCTCAGGAGTTCCAAGCTAGCCTGGGCAACATTGTAGCTCCCCTTCTCAGAAAATTTTAAAAAATTAAAAAGTACTTAAACAGTTAAGCTGGGCACAGTGGCTCATGCCTGTAACCTCAGCAGTGGGAGGATGAGGCAGAAGAATCCCAAGACCAAAGCCAGCCTCAGCAACTTAGTGAGGCCCTAAGCAACTTAGCAAAACCCTGTCTCTAAATAAAATATGAAAAAGGGATGTGGATGTGGCTCAGTGGTAAAGCGCCCTGAATTTAGTCCCTGTTAGCAAAAAAAAAAAAGAAAAATGAAAACAAAAGAGAGAGAGAGAGAGAACTCAAACACTTAATTTGCTGCTTTGACCCCCTCAGTTGTTTTATGCACATTGGTTCACGTTGATGGTAAGGCCCTGGGGTGGGGACCACACCCTGCAGATGTACACTTCAATCCTTGCACTTCACAGACTTGAGTGACACTTATTGGCTGCCTGGCAGGAAATCTACTCCCCACTCAACATGTTAGCCCACTCATAATCCTGTTATAACATTTCTTGTGTCAAAATCCAATCACCGTCTGGGCATAGTGGCACACACCTGTAATATCAGCTTCTTGGGTGGCTGAGGCAGGTGGATCACAAGTTCAAGGTCAACCTTAGCAACTTAGTGATACCCTGTCTCAATAAAAAATAAAAAGGACTGGGGGTGTAGTTCAATTAAGAGCACCCCTGTTTCAATCCATTGCACTGGAGGA